CGGTCTTATAAAGTTTTTATACCCTTCTCTTCTCCCGTTAACGTTGGCGCCCTCGATCTGCGTAGTTCAGAGACACTTCTAGATGCTTACCGCCAGAGGCGAAACAGGCGGGTCTCCGCACATCGCCTTTAACGAGGGATAATACCGCAAACAGTTCAGTGCTGTGTCGAAAAAAAAAATAATAAGAGTCGTGGGGAAAAAAAAAACGGCGTGTTTCTTACGCGCGCTCACGAGTGAGGTTGGATAATGGATCGCTTCCTGCGGGATGATTCAGGAAGGACTAATAGAAGGGTTAGAAGCGCGCGAACAGACACGTCGAGGGGAGTTAATCACGTACGGCCGCCAACACGCCCGACTGTCACGAAAGGCATCCGTCAAGAGACATCAGGTACACAACAAGTTAAGCACGCTGTCGGCCTAATGACTATAACTACAGTTCAACGATCAATCACAGACGCGGTAGTTCAGCGAACGGGCAAACGTCCTAAGCTGCGAACGATGAATGCGTGAGCACCCATACAGGAAGCGGTCGAGGGAATATGACGAACTACTCGAGGCAAAGCCGACCAAATGCGGTTTTTCTAGGGACGCTCGCGCGAATAATGTGAATTACTTCAACGGCTCGGTGCGAATCACTGTCGTGAACCGAACCAGAAGTCACGGCCACGATTATTACCGCTTAGTTAAAACACCAGTTTTCCTTTTTGTGAGGAGGCCCATCCACTCACTCCGAGAATCGAGCTTATGGTGCACTGAGTTCGCGTGATGATTTGCACTACATGCAACCCAGAGGGAAACGTGACGACACCATTTGGTGCCGTTTTTGGAAAGGTCTTATGTGCGCCAGTCGATTACGTAAAGGTCACTTCCATGACGTCATGGCACAGGCAAACTTTTTTTTCTTTAATATCGTTGTCTGTTTGGCACGAGTCTTGCTGGATTACTATAGAATAGCAAGCCGGGCAGCTAGGAACACATTCGCAGTACCGTAACGGAAAAGAGTCATAGAAAGAAAAAGACGCCCGAAGCGCTCACTTCACCTCTTCCTTTTTCTGTGCACCGTATCTGCGCTATTTAACACTTTGAACGGGGATTACTTGTTATCATTCGTATCCCTTCAGCGCCTATTACATGCCCGATCAAGTTATATAAAACCCCTCAAAGAACGGCTGCGCCCCCCTCCCTCAATACGAAACTACTAATCAGAGATAGAGAACTAATTTTCGCAGCACAACCTAGCGAGTTCGTATTTGAAAGGGCGGAGTGAGGGAGGAATCTATTCAGCGCAAGTTTCCTCAATGCACGCTCACAGCTCAGCAGTTCCAGTCTTGAAACGTACCAGCCTTGCAGCGGCCGAGGGCCTGTAAAGGAAGTCAAAGGCAACAAACCGAAAAAGTTGCCGAACGACTTACTCCAGAACAGTTCCCAAGAAAGGCAGGATTTGTAGCCCACGAAGTCCTTCGAACAAAAGGAGATAGAAGGAGAGGGAGAAAAAAATCGCCAAAGCCGAAGAAGGCGCAACCGACTCAAATAAAGGACACTTCTGATGTTCCTTACCTTTTCCCCCGGCCGAGACGTCAAAGAAAATAGTCGACACTGAGCCACCAAAGAAACGAATGCAGACGCAAGTTGGCGCAGAGAGCACAACCGGGCCAATCCTCACAGCGAGGGTTGCCAATCCGTTTTTTAAGGGGGCCCTCGATCCTTCCAGCTTTTCGCCTTCTGTCCGCTAAGACGGTGACGCAAAAGCGCGCGGAGCGGAACGGCAGCACTCTGACCAGTGCGGAAAGGTCAGTGACGGTGAAGAAGTCATTCCTTTTCGTGTACGAATTTCGGCTGACGCCTTAGAAAAAAAAAATCTAATTTAGCCCTCCAAACGTCGAGTGACAAAATCTTTAAATAAATTAATGCTCGACAAATATAGCACGCAGGCGGACATGAGAACTGTTCAGCGTTCGCTTCAGTGGTTATGGTGTTCCAACTACTTAACCCGCAGGTCGCGGGATCGAATGCCGCCCGCTTTGGCCGTGTTTTCCACGGAGGCGCAAAATGCCCGAGGCCCATGCTCTCAGATTTAGGTGCACGCTGAAGAACACCAGGTGATCGAAATTTCCGGAGCCCTCCAACTACAGCGTCTCTCATAACCATATGGTGGTTACAAAACGTCAGGCCACAAAGATTATTATTATTATTATTCGAAATGTCGTGGCATGCAGACAACGAGAGCCCACCTCGATGGCACAGTGGCTACATTGCCCGACTGTTGACCAGAAAGTCGCGTGCTCGACTCTGGCCGCGACGGTCGCATTTCTATAGAAGTGAAATGCTATAAGAGGCCCGTGCAGTGTGCGGATGTTAACGCACGCAAAACCCAACCCCAACTTATTTTTTGGCGTTCTTTTTCCTCGCCGACATCGCTCTACATCAGGCAGTTCCAGCAGTGGGCCGAATCGGAAGTCGGGAGCGAATGGAACTCTGGTACCGCGTGGGGTGTACGTTGGGAAAGAGAGACGCCATCTCACAGCGGGATGCTCGGCGAGGTAACGTTGGGCAGGCAGGCGGCCTGTGAACTCGCTGACGCTCGAAGAGAGCACACCGCGGTTCTTCCCTCAACACTATGGACCCAGCCGAGCAGAACTGCACCTGCACAGCCTACCTACCTCTCGGCGCCCTCGCTTTATTTTATTTTTTTTTAAACCCCGACGAATTGATTTTCTTCCCGGGAAAAGGAGGCGCCCCGGGGCGCATCCAGCCTCCTTTTATTCCCCCATTTCGGCTTCGCATTCCTTACTTCCCATTTTATACTTTCCTCCCCACGCAGAGACACGGTTCTTGAGGCATCGGTGCTGCCAAGTCGTGCTTTGCCGGGCGATGGGGCGAAGAAACGGGGTGTGCCCTCCTTCTTTTCTTTCGTCTCATCCTTCCCTCCACCTCTTTTTTTATATAGCTTCGTTTCGAGTCGATTTGACTCCGCCTTCTCGACTCTTCCGTGTTCGACCGATCATGCAGCAGAACACACGCCAGTGTGCGACGGAAGACTGCACACGAGATTCCCGCACGGAGCCAACCTCGACACGCTTCGCGACGCGGCTCTGTATAGGCATCGACTGGAAGGAACACAGGCACCGTTCATGCTGTCTGTCGCTCTCTGTGCGTGTAACCGTTAGTTTTCTGCACACACACACATGGGAGAGAGAGAGAGAGAGAGAGAGACGCAGGCGCAATGTCTCCAAACTTCGCGTTTAAGTTCAAGCCGAAAAGGTCAGGGGGTAGAATAATCGATACTACTGCACGTGGAGCGTAGGAAACAATTGAATCCATGCGCAGGGCTGGAAATGCGCGCCACTCCGTTGCTAAAATTAGCCCTGGCCGAGGTAGAGAAAGAGAAGCCAACGAACGCGCTCAGTAAAACCGCGGGAATTCCTGCCAACGAAAACAGCCGGGATAAGTAGGTAGGACAGCAGGTACAGCAGTAGATTTTCGGGCTATAGTGAATTCTTGGCGCATGTCCCGAGGTCTCACACGTCCCGTCTCTCCAGAGCTATGGCGTAACTGATAGCAGGCACAGGACAAGGACTTCTCCATTCAGTGACAACGAGAGAAACTACAAGATCACCATCGCCACACACACAAAAAGAAAGAAAGAAAAGGAGAGAGATGTGAGAGTGGGAAGGGTGGCGAGTCTACAGGAGAAGCGCGCAACGAATGAAAAGGCAGCCACAACGAAGGCGGCCGGTCCGAGATAGCGCCGCCGACAGGCATGCACGCGCGCTGTCACGGGACGTCGGAAGCGGACGCGTCAGAAGAACGACGACGCCGTGGCACGCATCACACGCACGCGCGCTCGACAACGCTTCTGCCTGGTGGTTGACGGAGCTTCTCACCCGCACCCACCTCCTGCATCCGCCGTCCTCCATCGGACTTCCTAGTCAACCGCCGAAAAACCTCGCACGAACCTCCTCCGGTTCCTATCAGCGAGCAAATCGAACAGTGCTCGCGCGAAACAAAAGGGGACGCCGAGCGAAGAATGCCGAGGGGGTGTGTGCGTGAACGGAGAGTTCGTTCCTGCTGCCCAATAGACCACCACGTTCAATCCGCGGCTGACGGGAAGGATGCACCGGGAAAGAAAAATGGGACGCCGCTCTTGCCCTCTTATCACGAATGCCCGACTTCCAGCTCGGCACGCAGCGTGCCAACGCTGTAACAAGTTTGAGCGCGGAGGTAAATTTTGCTATGGCTCTTGGCACTTCCTATACACCTTTTCACAGGAAGTAAAAAAAAAAAAAAACACCGCCATGATGGGCTGTGCGCGAGCGTACAAAGGCTAAAGGCGCAGCGTTGTCAGTGCATTTTCGAGGGGACGCACTAATTTGCACAGCCCAAGAAGGGCTATGGCGGCGCCCAGGGAGGCGTTTATGAAAAGATGAATATGCCCGAAAGTTAACTGGCGTGTGCGTTAACAATTAAAAAAGAAAGAGAATACGCAACAGCTGTAGCAGTTAACGCGTATCAAACAGGTTGTGAGAAGCACCTTTACTGTCTTGAGAACACATGGCGTCGCATGCTGCTAGTGAGAGGGTAATAAGGCAAGAGGCTGGGCGGGAGAGGCAGAAAGTGGGGTAACCATGGTAAAGAGCAACAAATCCGCACCTCAATAAACACTTGTCAAGTACATTACTATGAGACTAAGAGACTTAATTACTATCGTTCTTGTTTTTAATTTGATGTTATTTTGCTCGATTTTGTTATTTTATGTACTACACTCCTCTTTGTGAAGCTTCATGCGATTGAAAGTAAAATAAATGAAATAAAATGAAAGTAATTGGATTAGACGGGCAGCAGTCTCATGACCGAAAAGAGAAATATATTTTTCGCACTAGAGCATAAACAGCTGGTGTTAGCGCGTTCTGAACGCTTAAATCAATGCTGAACGCAGTTGGAAATAGCTTTTGCTGAAAAAAAAAAGATAGTAAGAACAGAGCATGACCAGGCCAACTTACCGTCCGCTCGGTCATAACGTAGAGGTGCTCGCCGTTCTTGTCAAACAGCATGTCCGAGTTGACCGCTTTGCCTTCTTCGATGACGCTGTCACTGTACTCGAACGCGTTGGTCACAGACTCCACCACGGCCTGCGAAGAGGACAGACAAACACAAACATCGATAAACGTGTATTGCTCGCGCCGTTTGCCTCGGGACGAACTAGCACAACTTGCCCGCAACGCAACGAGCCGCGAACGCAACCTCGGAGCGTTCGCGTGACGCCCAAATTTGCACCCGCGCACTTGACGATTCTAATGGAAAATATCTTGCTAGCATACGGAATGATAAAACTTGGTCTCGTCTGAATAACTGAAAATGTATTGGACCATAGGACCTCAAAGCCCAGAAGTCTGTCACTCCAAACACTCACTCGAAATAGAAGCAGTGACGTATGCTACCGCAGCGACGAAACTTTCCAATTAAAGAACGCATAACCGTTTTCCCTCTAGCCCCACAACCATTTCTCGCAGAGTGTACAAATGGGACGCTCGCCTCACCATTCACCCTGCACTTTCCTTTCTTTCTCTCCCCTTGCCTCTTCTACACGCCGCTAGAACACGTCTTGATGGGTATAGTTCAGTCGCTAAGGTGTACAATAACCCCCCCCCCCCCCCCCCCCCCCCGAAAAAAAAAGTTCAAAATTTTTTCCTGCTTGAGATAATCTGTACCAAGAATCAAACAAAACACAGAACTGAAATAAAGTCAATGCCGCAACGTCCCTTTCCATTGATGAGAGAGCCCAACAAAATTCTTTTTTTTCAGAAGCGCTGCATTATACTGTACAAGACTACCTTGTTTTCCCACCTTTGTTTGCCCACCTTTGTTTTCTGACCTAATGTGAGGGGAAAAAACAACACAGCGACATTTCGAAGTCAAGTTAGTCGAAGAAGCGAGCGTCTACAGCCAGATCTAAATAAAGGTTCCGGTGCACTTCTACCTGACCAGGGAGTAATATATACAGCAGCTTTGTTCCAAGCGGTGATGGCCATCTGCTCTTTCTTGCTCCTAACCAATGCCGTTGGACACAAATTAAACCCGGAAGCCACTGTCGCGTCACGTTGTACGCTCCAAGCTATCACGTTGCGCATAGAAAACGACACATCAATTAGTCGGGGTATCAAGCACGTACAAAGAGTGAGTGAGTGAGAGAGAGAGAGAGAGAGAGAGAGATAGAGAGAGAGAGAGAAGTGTCGCAACACCATATGACTAACGCATTCGAACAAAAGAGACGCCCGCACCAACCGCGCGATAGCGGCGGCACCGGCGTAATGAAAGGGAAGGTGTGGGTGTCGTTAGCGGGAAAAGGGGTGGGCGGAAGGGGATAATCAAAAAATCACGAACGCGGCGGCGCCTGCCGCTGGAACGTGATCGTCACTCTGGGCGCGTCGCGCCGCTCTTAACAGAATTCGGCACAGGCGCCCACCGGCTATACGCAGACGTGACCCGAGAACGAGGGGACGATTCTGTTGCAGGGGCAACGCGGGTAGGTTGGTGGGCGTGTGCTCAAAGGTTTGAGGAGGGAGAGACAGCTACAGTGAGCAAACACGTGCGGAAGAACCAGATACGGCGAGTTTCGCAAGAACCGAGAGCGGATACAGCGAAATTCGCAGATATCATCGCACGTAATACAGGCGGCGCAGACCGTTTCCAAGAGTGACAGCGAGACCATGTGTGTACACAACGTGACTTGGCTTCGTCGACTGACGAGGCCCTCAGATTCGAGCGCATCTATAGACCTGCCGCTTACTACGAGCACGGAAGGGTATCAAAGAAATGTTAGTGACCTCAGGCTCTGCAACGGCGCTTGAGCCTCAGGGAGAAGTTTGGCAAACAATGGAAACACGATCAGAAACAACGCTAATGACTCGCCAAGTTTGGAGCGGCAAAGGTAACCTATATAAGTGGGTAACTGTTGCACGCTCAGATTTTGTATGGAGTTACGTGCTGCACGCTTCTGCCCATAGGCGACATCAAAAATATAAAAATAAAGCAACAAAGGAGAGGGGGCAAGGTAAGGGCTTAACTATCCAGAAAGAACAACAAAGTCAGTGTTTTACATATTACGCTGGTTAGACCTCAAACTAAGGAACAGCGGTGGGTAGCGACATTCGACGCGTTATATAAGTATGTCTTTACGAATACGGCAATGGCGACAAGGCACGCACAATAAGGCGTCACGGAAAACAATGCGCACCATCTAGGCCGAGGAGGACGGCGCTGTGGTTGGTGCTAGCGAGAAGCAGGGCGGATGGCATCGCGCGAGCCGACAGCGGTGCCGAAAACGAAAGGGGGAAGGACCGGGGTTTGGGGAGGGGAGCAGGGGGTCGACTCGAGCCTAATCGGTGATCAATATGCGCTCGCAGGGACCAGGAACGACGCCGCGCGCAGGCACATACGCGCCGGACACCGGTCACGTCGGCGTCGGCAGAGAAAGGCACGCGGCCGCTCCTGCATTAAACATGTTCGCCCGAGCGGTCGCGGCCAACGTCGCGACAAAGTCTTCCTCTCCTCCATCCTCCTCCTTGCGGAAGGCGGCGGTTCTTCCACTCGGGGATGCTGAAAGCGCGCGAGCCCGCTAGGAGCAGAGATGAGCGGAGGCGGCGAGTGAAGAGAGAACGCTTCTGTCACGCGTCCCACACCGCAGCTGGTGCCGAGCGCGGAAGACGACAGAACCGATCTCTGTGTGTGTGTGTCTGTGCGTGCGTCTGTGCGCCTCGGTTGCGGCGACGAGCGCGGCCCAGTGACAGGCGCGATGACAAATGGTCGTCGGCGAGGGGACGACGGCTCCCGACACATGCCGAGCTAATTGCGCGCGCGCGCGCGACTTCCCAATCAGCGCGTCGCTCGCCGCGAGAGGGCGCATTGCCAGCGACCAGTTCGGTTTGTACGCGCGCACGCCACGTCGGTCGATGCGTTCATAACGCTGGCCCGTCGCCCACATTTTGTGTACACTTATGTGTTGGAACCCAGTACGTGTTAGAACCATTACCATGCAGCAACGACACTCTTATTCGTATGCGTTCTCCTTTCCCCGCTGTCTCTTCTCCATCTGAAATTCGTTCGTTGGCACCAAGTGCAAGCAAAGTAACAACCGATTACTCTAAAGCTGCTGTCGTCAAGGAAGCGCGCATCGCAAACGCAATTGTCCATATACTAATCAAAAGCCACGTTTGCAAATAACAGCATCATTTCTTGTTAGTCGAAAACACAAGCACCTGATTCTCTGCACCCTCCCAATTATAAAACCATAACTGCTGGTCTTAAGAGATGACTTCAGTGCAGTACTGCGAAGCCTTGTTGTAGCCGTACTCGAAATATCACTTCACTGCGGAACTCACCCGCTGCCAGGAAAAGCCAGCGCACAGGGAGCAAGAACGGCGCTTATACGATACATGCACACAGCAGAGGCCGCGGACGACAATGGGCGAAGCACCAACAGCAGCATGCTTGCAAATACCGAAACAATTTCACCCTGAGATACACGGGCTCCGCCACCTTGGACAGCTAACACATTGTTTTCTTGTTTTTGTATAACGCGATGTGAATCAAGTCAGAAACGTCGAATGCGCCAACCCAACCGTTTCGATGCGCACGCGTCCACCATAGCACTGCTCGTTTAGCTGCTTAATATACACAGCAAAGAAGAAAAAAAACACGGCAACACTGTATTTCAATATGGCGGCACCAAAAACGATCCGTGAGATAGTCTATCATTACTGCAGCGAATGGTGCACAGAAGGCAAGTTTCAGGGGGGGGGGGGGGGGGGGTTAGCTTAATGCCGGTCTCCATGGTGTATTGCACCAATCGGCTGAAATAAATATACGACATCATACGGCGAAAGAACCGTGCCACGCAACGGACACGCGATAACCGAACGCAGTCGCATTTGCGAGAACGAACAGGGCGCCGCAAGGAAGGCCGATGGAGGAGGAGAAACGACTTCCATCGCAGTATACCTGCCGTCTGATTTTCTTTTTACGTCGGCGAGACAACGGGCCGTCACCGGCACGCAAAGGGAGAAGCAAAACGACATTATTAGCGGCCGCTACGTCGTCGGTCACGAGAATGCTCGAGGGAGCACCTCCCCGCCGCTTTCCGTGGCGCGTCGACTGCGCCTGATGTCGTGCGCGAAAGCATACTCGAAAACCAACTGTTCGTAAATACAGAAGATGACACGTTTGCTCGGTCAACGACGGTTCAGGGCATAGAGTTTCCTAATAGTAACTAGAGGGAACTCTGACGCTGCGATCATTCAGCGACTATGGGAATGATGGGTAGTACATGTATAGTCTTCGTGATTGATGGCTTCGAACACACCAGTGGTTTTTTTTTTATATTGCATTTGTTTTGGTTTTCTTTCGAATAAAAGAACAAAGCGTTTTTGAGAAATAAACTTACACATAAGGCACTATATATATATATATATATATATATATATATATATATATATATATATATATATATATATATATATATATATATATGCGTGTATGTGCAGTGAATGTGCGCCGTAAAGCCAAGGTTACGTATGTAGTGAAGAAGTGTCTTGTGGAATGAATTGGTAAGGCTAAAAGACTAAGGTGGCAAAGTGCAATTGTTTAAGATTTAACGATTTTCATCTCGTGACAAATCAGCTCCAAGCCACGCGAAGCCAAACGGCACCGAAAGTACGAAGATTACACAAATACTTGCACTATACCCCTAATTCCCATGCTTGCTCCGCGCCGTGCGTTGCAGCTCTCATAGATACTAGTTCCACAGTTCCCTCTAGTGTACTTATATTATAAACTCTGTGGTTCAGACAGCTTGCACATCACATCACGGAAGGATATTCACAACGCTCCGGTTCAGCAACACGGCGACTCTGATGACGTCAAAGGCAGCATGGTCCCACCCTGCGCCTAACCTGCTTCGACATGATACCGATGCAGCTACAATTTTATTGGCATCTGAGCGCGTCCAGACAGCTCGGGTGTTGGACATTCAATGGATTACAAAATCCCGGCATGCAACCCGCCCCGACTAACCATCACATGACACGGTCGCACCTGCACGCAAGGCCGCCATTCCAGCATGCACGGCCGGGCC